AAATCTAGTTTAAAGCCCTCTGAATCAGATCAGCGCAGTTCTGGCCAAGTGCATTCTTCTGCTCTTTGCTAAGTGCATTCTGGCGATGCTGAGCTCCGTCAGGCTGCTCTCAGGCTGCGGTCCAGGGAGACAGATCCCAGTTTTGGACTCTGTGAACGTTGCCAGGCCATCCTTGCCATGTCCTCCTTTCACTTCCAAACTCTCACCCCCTGCCAGGAGAAGGGCTGCCTGGGCACCAGCCCAAGTCCTCCTTGCCGTCCTCCTTCCTGGCACAGCTCCAGAGATGCAAGCAGATCTCTGGGTCCTTCCATCTGAGGTTACGGACCCCAGTGTGAAGCCCTGGCGGCTCTTGGCCTGAAGCGTTTGCTTAATCACAGTCATTCCTGAGCCTGCCTTCGAAGATAGTGCCGTGGGGTCCTTACTAAGGAGGAGGCACCCTGCCCCTTCTGTCTAGCCCCCTTGGCAAGATGCTCTGTTCTGCTTTTGAGCCTCAGCTTTCTGGGGGTCATGACAGAGCCCTCCCCGCCTAGAGGGGTCATGAGGACTTCAGCAGACAGTTCAGGAGAAATGCCCTGTAGTCATTCCCCAGAGGAAACCAGCCCTGGCCAGCCCGCTGCTTCCCTCAAATGTGAGCACGACACAGCTCCTCCCCTAGTTCATAAACCAGTGTTCCTTACCGGAGCCTGCCTTACCTGCAGGGTGCTGGATCCTCCTTTGTTCTTTGTTGTCTTCTGGCTTCTCACCTCGGGCTCTTCACCACAGGGTGTGCTCCCTCAACTGTTTGTGCAGCCTTGACCAGAGCTCCCCCATAGCTCATAGGAACACCTGAACTATTCCCAGGAGGAAGCATGCCCGTGACACAGGCATAGATTTGGAGGCCTCTGGACAAATGAAATGTGACCTGTCTCTACCAGAAGCAGCTGTCACTGCCCTTAGGGTAAAGTCCTAGGTCCTTCTCTCGGACACATTTAGGCCCATGGGTCAGGCCAATTGCTGTCTGCCTCCCCTTGCTCTCTCAGCTCCAACCGTACAGGACATCTTTTACTTCCTCTGAATGCTGTGTGCTCCAGGGCTGCGTGTGGCTCTTCCCTCTGCCCAGAATGCTTTCCCCCTTTAACTCCCTCTCATATTTGGAGACTCTTCTTAATTGTCCTTTCGGCACAGAGATACAGCTCCCCTCCAGACCTTGCAAGAGACCCTTACCATACTTTCAGGGAGCCATGCTTTTAATCTTAGAACATATATAACATTGATAAGTGTTTTTTATTGTCTAATGGGAGCTGAGAGGCTAGAATTTTCCCATGCTCATTGGTAGCAGGACATTTAGGATCTGTGTGTGTGTGTATATATACGTACACACTAGGGATTGAACCCAGAGGTGCTTAACCACTGAGCCACATGCCTACCCCCTTTTACTTTTTCGAGATAGAATATCGCTAAGTTACTGAGGCTGGCTTTGAACTTGAGATCCTATTACCTCAGCCTTCCAAGCCACTGAGATTACAGGCAATGTGCCATTGTACATGGCAGGATCTTTTCTCTGTCCTTCTACAATCTTTGTGCTGACAGAGCTGGGTCTATCTGGATCAATGTGTGTCTCCACAAACACCATTGCTGGGTCAGAGAAAGGCTCACTAACTATTGGGATTAGTAGCAGTTAGGAATGTAAACCCTGTGCTTTGAAAGATCTTAGTTCCCTATAGACCACATATTTACATAGTTCCTCCTGCTTCCTGAGGACTCTATTCGTAGATGACAACTTTCTCTATCTATCCATGGAGCAGCAAGCCTGGCTTAGGGACAGTGACTCAAAAGGAATGGCTTTGCATATGTAAATGGGGGTGTTGAGGAAGTCTTGATGAAAGAACAGGAATGAGGAGGAAGAACATTCTGGAATTGGCATAGGGTCTTAGAGGTCATCCTGGTGCTTCCTATTGACCAGAACTGACAAGAAATTTGTGAGCCAGTACTGGCTTTGCGAACATCTGAGGACCTTCCAACATGAGAAGATGAGGTAATGGCTCCTGGGGACATTTTGCCCTTGTTGTACCTGTGTTTGATTAAAACAGCTAGGAAAGGGCTATAGCACGGAACCTGGCTGCTCCCTCCAGGCCTCCTTGTCACTGTATCTAGTACACACTGTTATCACTGCAGATAGGTTCCTGTGTCCTTAGTTACATAGTGAACTTCTTTGAAGGCAGAGGTGTGTGGGGTTGAGGAAATGGGTGCTACCGTGTGGTGGTGCACGGCTTGTCTGTTTGCTCTTGATTATCATCTTTTAAATCTTTGTTTATTTTAGTTGACTTGTGTGTGATCATTTAATTTGTTCATCATCAGGACAGCCTCACATGCCACAGATTTGCAGTCAGACTTTTTGGACACAGTCATGTGTTCTGGGCAAGAGGCAGCTTCAGAAATGATTAACTCTCTTGTTATTAAAAGGGTGATTGGAATCACTGATATGAAGGTCTGAGTCCATGCAGTTAGGCTTGGAATGAAATGGGTCTGTTTCTTCCCATGAGGGTGTGGCTTTGCCACTGCTTGTATGTCCATTACCACACTAGTCCATTCAGCCCCTAGCCATTCAGGGGCCACGTTGCTGCACGAGTCTCATGTGTCAAGTGGAATAAGACAGTGGGTTTATGTGTGCTGAAGTCAAACAGCCATCAATCATGGATCTTCTCTACTCCTGCCCAACCTCCTGGGGATGGTGAGTAGACCTGGCTGTCCCTGCCGGTGACAGAGCCACCAAGAGGCCCCCAACCCGTGTTCCCCAGATGCTCGCCATTGAAAACTCAAATGCATGCCACATGCTAGGCTGCTGGAAGTGCGTTACTGTTTTGATGTGGCTATTCTGAAGTTAAGTGTGCACAAACACACATGCTTTCTGTCAACCAAATGATGACGCTGCCATTGCTGAAGCTCTGCCTTTGCCATGCTTGTAAAACTAATAGGGTTTTGTATCTCTTGGCTAAATACTATATTATCAAATAAAAAGAAATTACCATAAAAGTCTTTCCACACCAAAGGGGATTTTTCTGAAAGTCATATTCACTCTTTTCCATTATGTCGTCCCTTTCTTGCAAATCTGTACAATGTGCCCATTCTCCAGCACACAGGCTCACGGTGTTCTGCCCTTTGGCTTCTTCCTGGTACTGCCAGCCTGGGCATTTTGTCTAGGAACTGCTCTAACACCGCCTATTCCTAAAACCTTCCCTCTAGGGACAATCCCCAGGTGGCAGGCGGCTTTTGTTTCCCCTGTTTCCTCCCACCAGGCTCTTAGAGGGAAGGAGATTCCTGGTCTGGGCTGGAGTCCTCAGCTGAATATGCACAAGGCATAATTAAACCCCAAACAGGCAGATGGGGAGGGCCCATTCCTCTACCCCCATATCCTACCTGAAGGGCATTGAGGAGATTCCCGTGGAGGTGGTTTGCTTCCCTGTGTTTGGAAATCACCCAGGAACACAGCAGACAACTGGCATTTCATACTGCTTCCCTCCGTGCCCAACCTAGCTCCCTTGTTCTCAGAGGAAGAGGTCAGGGGTACTGTCCCAGGTAAGTCCTGGCAGAATGAGTTCTTGCTGAGCAGCTGGGCACCCCTGCCCAATAAGGTCTAGATTTTCCTTCCCCACTGAAGGGTTGAGAATGCTCTGCATGCCCCATCACCAGTTGTCACTTGAGCCTGCAGAATTTCTCCATAGGGAACTGTCTGATCTGCTTATTCCCCTGGGATCCAGGCAGATGTAGTTCCCGCTATCTGCACATCCTGCCTGGATTTCTTTATCATGACTAGTAGTGTGTGCCTCGGACCTGAGCGCTGCCCTTGGATGCACTGCCAGGATTCCAGCAATGTGGCCTTGCCCAGCCCCAGGGTCCTATCCTCAGGAAGGACCCATCCTCCTCTGGGTTGTGCTATTGGCTCAGAGGTTTTTGTACTATCAGTCATTTTGCTGCCCATTCACAGTTCACAGCCGATGGCTTTGCTCAGCAAAAACATGCATACGCCTGACTGCCATTTCCCTACTCCCTAGTGCACAAGCGAGAATGTGAGCATTTCATCTTGGTGTGAGCATTCAGTCACCAGTCTTGATGGGTTTACAAATAGTCTTTAATGCCCATGAGTGATTCTTTTAAATGTTTTTCAAAATCGTGGACTAACTTTACATTATGAACAAACATCATCCAAGCAATGGGTGATATGCCTCGTTGGTTTAGCCAATGTTTCAGAAAACATCAGGATGCTGCTGCTTGTCAGATCGATTTCCTGTGGATTTTGTCACTTTTCACCAGAAGAAGTTAAAAGAGCATGTGTTTTCTATTGCTGTGCAGCAAAATACTGCGCACACAGTGATTGGAAACGGCATTCGATTATTGTCTCCCAGTTTCCCTGGGTCAGAAGTCCAGCTTGGCTCAACTGAATTCTTGGCCTTGCCTGTCATGAGGTGAAAATTAAGCTGGTGGCCAGCTGGGCTCTGATTAGGAAGCACTGGGAAGGGTCCACCTTCAGGCCCATTCAGTACGTAGGCAGAACCCACCCAGTTCCTTGCACTTGTTGAACTGGGGTCCCTGTTCCTTGTTTTTATTCTCTTCTAAAGGCCATCTACATTCCTGTCACATGGCCCTCCATCATGAAAGCCAGCAGTATGTGAAAGAAGATCCTCCTGCTTTTCACCTCTCTGGCTTTCTTTTCTGTTGCTAATTGGAAAACTCTTGATTTTTAAAAGGTACACCTGATGGACTTGGGCCTAATTAATCTCCATATTTTAAAGTCAACCGATTTGGGACTTTTAATCTCTCGATCCACGATCCTTGCATGCGGTCCCCCCTCCCCCCTTAGTATCTGACTGGATCACCAGGGAACAGGAATCTTGGGAGCCACCTTGAGACTTGTGTTCATCACAGAGGAATCGACCTCACATCCGTTCTCCCATCTTAGGTGACCCTCCCCTCTGCCAAGAAATCCCTGTTGTCAATGTACTCTCCACTCTTATCTTCACCAGTGAGTGCTGGGGATCCTGAGCCTGAATTGGAGGCAGAGGCAAGGCAAGTTGCCAATGAAGCCAGCCAGGACATAGCCTCTTCCCAAGGGGAAGCGGAGAGTGAAGGGGAGCGGGCCCTGGAGCAAGAACCCGAAGAGCGAGCCTCCCTCAGTGAAAAAGAGAGGCAGAACGAGGAGGTGAACGAGAGGGACAACTGCTCCGCCTCCAGCATCTCGTCCTCCAGCAGCACCTTGGAAAGGGAAGAGAAGGAGGACAAGCTCTCCAGGGACAGGGCAACTGGTAAATGAAACCCTTTTCTGCAGGGAACCCGAGATAGAGGACCTGGTTTGCTACAGAGCCTGTCCATAGGCTGCCTCCAAGGTGAACTGCTGGGACAGCTCACTCCCCAAGCTGTATCACCCAGCATCTGGACAGGAGGAGTACGGTCACACTAACAGCATGCTTCTCCCCCAAATCCTCTGCCCTGCTGTTGCATTTCTCACTTCCACAGGGAACAAAAAGGGCCCAGGCAATGAGTGCTTTTCCTGAAGAATGAGCCTTGGAGGAGAAACACATTTCACTATTTGCTTAGTTGTTGATAATAGTATGAGGGCCTTTTTGGGGTTCTGATTTCAGTTTAGAGACATGTCATATTGTTATCTACTCCCTTAAAAGTTTTTTAAAAGTCAAGTATGGGAAGCCTGGACTTTCAGAAGGAAATAGATTTATTAAATGAGTGTTTCTGAAACTTAGTGGTTCACAGTGTATTGAGGTCAATTTGATATGCTAAACTGGAATATACCAAATTTAGGTGGTTTTCTCCATTGTACTCAGGACTCCTGTTTTTCATAGATGTACATGCATTTCTTTATGAAATTTTAAGTATTACCCCTGTTATTAATTCAGTTCACCTGAGTATGGGGACTTTGTAGTTAAGGATCAAACGGAATGCTAGATTACAGATTTGGCCCCTAAGGACCTCACCTGGGATTAAGGAGATACCCCAGAAGGTTATAGATGTTGTTAATTTTATAGAAATTAACAAGGCATTTCAGAAGGTTATAGATGTGGTAACCATTCACGACATCTGTGACACCACCAGGTTGATTTCCTGATGTGTGTGCTGTCAGGGTGTGCTGCCTTCCTCGCCAACCCCTCAATAGTGAAGCCTAATCTTACAGGCTTCCCTCTGTAAAGCTACGTACAAGGGACACACCCTCAAGTCCCAAAGCTGTACAGGGACTAATCAGCTACTGCTTGTACTTGTTAGTTCCCAGACTGAAAATATACTTGGCTCTGAAGCACAGAAGAATGAAAGAAAAAGGAATGAGTGAATAAAATTAGTCTTCTAAAATACCTGTCAATCAGTAGTATAGTCTAAAAGAGTTCCTTTTAAAATATTTTCCAGTTAGGATGTGCCACTTGGTTTTTTTTTCTAATCATGATATTATAATTAAAAACTGAGAAAACTTATTAATTTATATCCTAGAAATTGCCCTCAAAAATCTTGTGTTTAGTTGAAGATGTATGTACCAAAATGATATCTACTTACTTTCCTTCAATGTCAGATTGTAGTTAGTATCACAAATTCTACTTGTACTATTGATGTCCATTGAAATTTTGATCATAGCTCATAGCACAGGGTGTATGGTAAGTCTTCTTGATCACTTTGGCCTTAAATCATATTTTATGTATTATGAGTAGCTTTAAGTATTATTCATCATATCTGGGTTTAGCATGCCCAAAAAACATCAACAAGTTGGATTAGTAAAAATAAGATGGGGAACAGAACTTTCTTGGATCAGGTTGTGCAGTATTTTTACCAAATAAGGACAATTCTCCAGAAATGGAGACTGCTACCAGTGAAGAACCATTGACTTTCTACTAAAAGTGGATGTTGTCCAAGTTGGGTAGACTCAGGAATCAGGATTTCAGTGATTTCTCTCCAGTGCTGTGAAGAGATTTGATCATGTTTATTTGCACTAGCTTATTAGTTTTTAAAAACTCCCACTGTTCTAGGCACCTTTAGCCACAGAGTCAGGGCAGTTCTGTCATAGTAGCTTTTGCTTTCAAAATGTTCTCAGTTAAATTATAAACTTTAGAGGTAATTGAAATTATTACCAATATCATTTTTAATCATTGTGTCTATTATGGACAAATGAGTGGTCAGCCTGAAAGACTCATTCCAGTTAGGTGGTGCTATTTTTCTTTCACATGTTCTGCTCTATGGCCCAAGTATGAGAAGCTTTGGCATCGCATTCGTTGCCCTTAGTTAAAATGACTTGTGTAATTGTCTGTTGTTTATGCTTAAATGTCAGCTTTGTGAGGATGAGATGTCAATCAGGTTCACTGTGAGCCCTCAAGTCCTCACTCTGTGCCTAGAGCACAGTAGTGTCTCACAAAGTCATCAGTGGGTAAATGAAGAGGCGTCTGGTCCCCTTGTTCTTGATGTCAGTGGAGCCCAGCAGAGAGCTGAGCCTTCATCCTCACCTGGTATATACAGCGGGAAATACTGCATTTGGAGGAAGCACTAATCTGCAGTGATCTCCCCAACCCAGAGTCAAAGAGGACTGATAGGGAATGTAGCCTCCACCTCTACCTAGAGACGATGATGCAATATAAATCAGTGGTCTGCTTTCCCTGGGAAGATGGCTCTGGGACCAAGGAGGTGGGAGGAACTGAAATTTTGTCATACTCATCTGTGCTGAGACAGTATGAGTCAGCACCCTTGCCAGGGTGATGACAGCATCACACGCCAGGGAGCTAAACACCTATTTCCACCAAGATCTGAATGCTATACCAGGAAAGGGTGACTGCCTGCTAAGAGAGAAGATTCAACAGGATGCAAATAAGACACAAATTTGCTAGGATATGATTGAAAACTATCCATCCTATCAAGAACCAGAGCAAGTATAACTTGAAAAAGAGAGCCAACAGATGCCAACACAGATGAGTTTCACATTGGAATTATGTGACGAGAATGTTGAAGCAGCCACCATAATAAATCTTCAATAACTCAGGATGTACAGGAAGAAAATGAAGTAGAATATGTATGAAAAAGAACCAGGGGTAAATTACAGAACTAAAAGGGTTAATAACCAAAATAACTAAGTGGGGTGGATTTAATTAATAGTAGATTAGAGACAACAAAGGAAACAGTCAACTCAAAAACAAGGTCAGTAGAAATAAACCAATCTTAACAGAAGAAATAGCAAAAAATGGATAGAGACACTACAGTTCCTCAGAGACGAGTGGAACTAATAATAGGTCTGACATCCTTGTCACTGGAGTCTGAGAAAGAGCACAGGGCTAAAAACATGTTTGAAGAAATACTGTCCAAAAATGTCCTAAGTCTGTCAAAAGGCATAAACATCCAGGTTTATGAAGCTGAGACAACTTGAATTTGGTCCAAAGACATCCACACCAAGACAAATAATAAACTTCTGAAAACTAAACAGCTAAAACAAAGTTTTAAAGGAGGCTGGAAAGAAATATGTGACCCATAGGGGAACAGATTTCTGGGAGAGCTCATCTACAAACCCAGAAGCCAGTGGAAGGGCACAGCATTTTATTAGTGCCAGAAACAACTGTCATCCATGAGTTCTGTATCCAGCAAAAGTATACTTTAAAGAATAAAGGGAACATAAGGCTTTCTCAGATGAATACAAACTAGGAGAATTCATCACTGGCAGACTTTCCCTTCAAGAATGGTGGAAGGATGTTCTCCGAACAGAAATGAAATGATAATGGAAGGCTTGGAATTTCAGGAAGGGAAGAACAGAATGGGTGGAAATAGGGTAAAGAAAATAGACTTTCTCCTCCGAGGTTTCTGAAATAATATTTGAAAGTTGAAGCAAAAGTTTTAATATCATTTGGTATAGTAATTCTCTGTATATAGAAGAAATATTTCAGATAATTTTGAAAACATAGGTGGTAAAAGGAACTACATAGAAGTCAAGTTTTCTTCATTGCACTTAAAGTGGTTAAACATCAACACTTGTAGATTACGGCAGGTTAGTGTGTATGTTATAATACCCACAACAACCACTGAGAAAAATGCTTTAATGTACATAAAAACACTAGAAAAATAATTTCTAAAAAATATTCAAGTAATGCACAATAGCCAAGAAAGGAGAAATTGTGTGGGGGGGACCAAAATGGCAGACTTAAGCCCTAACATTTCAATAGTTACTTTACATTAAAAGAGATTGACAGTGGATTTTTTAAAAAGCTTAATTACATGCTGTTATATGCTGTCTGTATGGAACTGTTTTCAAACATGATGACCCGAAGATTGAATGTTAAAAGTTGGGAAAAGGGATATCAAGCAAACATTGATCAAAGAAAAGTAGAAGTAATTATGTTAATATCAGATAAAGTAGACTTCAGAGCAAAGGAAATTACTAAAGACAAAAAGGGACACCATAAAATGATTAAAGTAGATAAATGATAGGATCAAAGTATGTTTTATGTGTATATGAAAATGTCACGCAGAAATCTATTTTGTATAATCATCTGCTAATTTTTAAAAGATGTAAAAAGAAAGGGCAAGAAAACTAGCCAGGTACAAAAACTATCAAGAAATACACTTTTCCCTGTTGCCAGAAAATGAAAGGCCAACATTTCCCATCAAATGGAGAAAGAATCGGCCTGTCTGTTGAGACTCGGCCACTCACCTACTGTGGCATTGAACAGTAGGACAACTTTACAGGGACAACTTGTGCAGGCTGGGCCCAGGGTCTTGGCAGTAGAGTGTGATGAGGAAAGCGGCTAGATTCTGGCTGTAACATGAGGATTTAGTCAGCACAGGAGGCTCCTTGGTATGTAGAAGATGGAAAAAATAGGAGTTGAGGGCAATCTCAGTGTCTTTGGAATTGGCAGCAAGGTGCATGAAGCCACCCCAGCTGAGAGAGCAAACCACTGCAGAAGATGCTATGGTGAGGGCAGAGAACCCGGCAATGTGAAAGCCCTGAGACTAGATGAACTGATGACTGTAAGAGTGGGGTAGATGAAAAGAGGAGAGCAATGGACATTTAAAGGAAAAACAAGAAGTCGGGGAAGGAGCAGCAGAAAGAAGGAAGGTAAATATTGCATCCTGTCAGGGGATGGAGAAGAAGGGGGAGATCAGCTTTGTCTAGTGAAGGTCACGGTCACTTGGAAAGGAGCAGCTTTGAAGACCATTGGGAACAAAAGCTCTATTTGATTGAGTTCTAGAGAAAATAAAAGAAAAATTGGAGATGGTGAGCAAAACAACTCTTACACTCTTGTAAATGGTGTGACCTTAAAGGAGAAAAGTTGGGTGACTGGTGAAGACAGAAATGGGGTCAAGAAAGTCTACTTTTTTTTTTTTATGGAAGAAATTAAATTACTCAGGCTGGGGTTGTAGCTTAATGATACAGCACTTGCCTAGCATGTGTGAAGCACTGGGTTCAATTCCCAGCACCACATATAAGTAGTACAGGCCCATTAAAAAATGAAGAATTTTTTTTTTTAGAGAGTGAGAGAGGGAGAGAGAGAGAGAGAATTTTTTAATATTTATTTTTTAGTTTTCGGTGGACATTTTAGTTTTCGGTGGACACACCATCTTTGTTTGTATGTGGTGCTGAGGATCGAACCCGGGCCGCACGCATGCCAGGCGAGTGCGCTACCGCTTGAGCCACATCCCCAGCCCCAACGAAGAATTTTTAAAGAGAAATTATTCATATTCTTCCAGTAGGAAAAGCCTGGGAGATGCAGGACAGAATCACTGGCATGGGCTCCTAATGTAACAGTTGAACCCTGCTAAAGGACAATTTGTGTTTAGTCACAGGAGGGAGGCTTCTTCCTGGTTTTAGGTGCAGCTGGGAGGGTAGAGATGGAATGGAGGCTCTGGAAGATCTTCTGACTTCATCTGTTAAGTTGGTAAATTAGGTGAGGTAATTGGGTGAAGATGAGATGGGAAGGGAGGGGAGGGGTGTGGAAAGTTCTGGTGGTGGTAAGCCATCATGAACTTCAAGTGAAGCTGATGGCATGGATTGTGTGGATACAGAGTTGGAGTTCAGGGAGACACAAAGGTAACCTTACAGCCCCTCCAGTCCCTGCTCTGGGCCAGGGAACTGCTTCCTTCCCTTTTTTATATAGTTAGAAAAGAGGCCCCTTGCCTGTGACCTGGTGGGTCCTGACCAGCTGCCACAGGAGGGCAGAGAAGGTGAGGAAGATTTCTCCCGTGAACCCAGGTGGGAGCCAGGAGCACTATGATACATGGAAGGGATCCTGGTCCTGGAGCAAGCGGTCAGTCTCAGCCCTTTCTGCTTTAATTGCTTTATTTCAGTGTCTTTTTCTGAAGTCGCTCCATGTGTCCTGTCCCTGTGTCCCCTCATTGGTTTTCTCATGGACGTAAAGCCCCCTTGCCACCTTCTCATTGTCATTTTCTTCTGTGTGCCTTCAGGTGTGTGGTCCACAGGCATTCAGGATGGAGGTGTAAATGGACAGTGTGGCGATATCCTCACCAACAAACGGTTCATGCTGGACATGCTGTATGCCCATAACAGAAAGTCCACGGATGACGAGGAGAAGGACGAGAGGGAGACCAGGAGCAAGGAGCCGGAGGCGGAGGCGGTGGCCAGCCTCGCCTCCAGGATATCCACCCTGCAGGCCAACTCTCAGGCCCAGGACGAGAGCGTCAGGAGGGTGGACGTCGACTGTTTGGACAACCGGGGAAGCGTGAAAGCCTTTGCTGAGAAATTCAACAGCGGGGACCTGGGGCGAGGCCCCATCTCTGAGGATGGGTCCAATGACAAGGTCCCCGAGACAGCGCCTGCGCAGCTGAAAACGGAGTCCGATTACATCTGGGACCAGCTCATGGCCAACCCCCGGGAGCTCAAAATCCAAGACATGGATTTCACCGATCTGGGAGAGGAGGACGACATTGATGTCCTGGACGTGGACCTGGGTCACAGGGAAGCCCCAGGACCACCACCTCCACCCCCGCCCACCTTCCTGGGTCTGCCACCCCCGCCCCCACCGCCCCTGTTGGACAGCGTCCCACCCCCTCCAGTCCCTGGTAATTTATTGGCTCCTCCTCCTCCAGTGTTTAACTCTCCTCAGGGCTTAGGGTGGTCCCAGGTACCCAGGGGTCAGCCCGCTTTCACCAAGAAAAAGAAGACCATCCGTCTGTTCTGGAATGAAGTCAGGCCTTTTGATTGGCCATGTAAGAACAACCGCCGCTGCAGAGAATTCCTATGGTCGAAACTGGAACCCATTAAGGTGGACACTTCCAAACTGGAGCACCTGTTTGAGTCTAAATCCAAGGAACTGTCTGTCACAAAGGTAGGTCTGGGCTCTAGCATGTTTCTTTATTTGCATTGGGGTAGGGCTGAAGAAATAAAGACCCCCTCTCTAATGTAATTTTGGCTATTTGGTTAAAACAAACCCTGGTATATTTAAAAAAAAAAAACTGACCTTTAGGATAGTAATCCTGTGGTACATGCTTGATGTAAGTTATGTGAGTGGAACATCACTTCCATCATGCAAAACAGCTTTCGGAGACTCGGATAACCTTGGGAAAAAAAAAAAAAAAAGAAAAGCCCAAGAAGGTTAGCTACACAGAGCACAGTCCAGTAGCAGATATTAGTATTAACTAGACGAAAGTGGCCTTGCTGATTTAGTAGACTGTCAATGTGTTTACCTTCAGGGATTATGGTTGATAGTAGTATCATGAACTTCAGCTGTGGCTCCTCAATGTTTTTACAAAGACAATAATTCAGTGACATTTCTTTGGATAATCCCCTAATTGAGACACCATAGTACAACTATTGGATATTTCCCAATGGCCACATATTCATCCTATAAATATTACATATGCTTCTAAATTTCATTTTTTAAAAAGTATTTTTTAGTTGTTGATGGACCTTTTTTATTTATTTGTATGAGGTACTGAGAATCGAACCCAGTGCCTCACATGCTAGGCAACCTGAGCCACAACCCCAGTCCTAAATTTCTTATTGTTCGAAAATGTCTGGTAACCTGTAAACCTTCCTGCTGTGGTATTGTTAAAAGAGATGTTGGGTCCACTTTTATAGATGGGAAACACTGCCCATGAAATCATCGTTAGTGATGCAATATACCAGATCACAGAATGCGTGTCTCACCAGTTCAATGCAATAATGTCTCCTTCACACATTTTAAAGAACTAAGAAAACAACCAAAAACAACAACAAAAACTTGTGACTCGGGGTGTATTCCAGTTTTAAAACAGGCTTGAAACCATCTGCTCTCCTTAGGACTTGGGGTTTGAAAAAGCACTTTAAAGTATAATGTAGAGTAAACATTGCAAGTGTTTGTTATCATGAGTCAATTAGAACTCTATATTGCCGCCCTGTTCTTGAATCATCTTTTGGGGTGAATAAAGCTGCCTGAGTTGGGCCTTCAGAACTGACTGAAGAGTAATATACAATCAGCCCTCCATGTCCATGGGAAAATATTCAAAAACTTTTATCTGTACTGAATATGTATAGACTTTCTTGTCATTGTTTCCTTAACAATAGTTTAACAACTATGTACATAGCATTTATGTAGTATTAGGTACCATAAACAACCTAGAGATAAAAGTAGGTAACATAAACAACCTAGAGATAAAAGTATATGGGATGATGTGCATAGATTATATGCAGATATACTGTGCTACTTTATATAGCAGACCTGAGCCTCTGAGGATTATGGTGTCCTTGAATGGTTTTGTCACCAATCTCCCATGGGACTGAGGAACAAGTATATTGAGAAACTTGCGAAATTGATTCTAGAAGTTGAAGAGTCAAGCACCAATTCTGAATCCAAACTGTGCAGGACAAGAGTACCCTACAAACAAGGTAGTGCCTGTCCTTGCTGTGCGATGCCAAAAGGCCAGTTAGGGGAGCTGTCATTGATGAATTTCCTCTTGAAGCCCATGTTGAGGCTCTTAAACTGCTTGCCACTCTTTGCTGGTTGGCATTTGCCCGAGTGTCTCTTTCTGCCCAGTCTGAGTGAGGATGTGATTCTAAATTGTTTCCAGCCTTAGGAATCCCCTCAAATAAAAATTAAAGCTTTCTCGTTTGTAAACCCAAACTGCTGAGGTCTAACATTTAAAAAAATCATGTTACTCCTGCATTTCAGTTAAAAGTGGGTCTAGCTTTTGCCCTCTTAAGAAAATAACATCCAGGAAGGTAGTGCTGGACCCTTACTCTTGGTGTGCTTATGTCCATACTGGTTCCACGTGGTGTTGAGCAACCCACATGCCCCTTTCTGATTGTTACATTCAGACTGGCATTTGGGAGAACAGCTGGGGTTAAGACAGCAGTTCCTGGCTGCCAGAAGTCGCCGACAACCTGCTTTTCTGGCACCACCCCTGACCCACTGATCCAGTTA